CAATTATTATTCTTTCCGAGAATTGACTGAAATATTTTTAGTGCGTTGAATCTATTGTCTCCAATCGAGTAAACATCTATTGTCCAAAGGCCAAAACCAACCTTTTTTTTATGGGTACAAAAAACCAACTTTTCTTATCTCAAATCGTATAATCTGCTTCCTCTTGGGCACGATTATCTATGATGAATCAAGGGGACTTTTTTCTCTCTTTTTGGAAGGTACGTACCCTGATATACAATTGTGTACAATAGAATTGTTTTAAGTAGAATTGTTTTATTATGGACATATATTCTGCACTGACCTTAAAAGAAATGTTCATACACAATTCTGCTGTGATTCCTCTAATCTTTCATTCAATTAAATCAGTTGTTATCTCATTTATACTCTAGTTAGCTCTAGTTATAAATAGTTCAATCATTTCACGATTTAATAAATGGGTGACTAGCTGGTATGCATATATAATTTACTTTAATAAAACTCCACAATTGATTTCCTTAGGGCATGCTTGTTTATGAAATAATTCATTTCACATTCAAAATCTAACTCAATTTTAACTCAACCTCAATACTATTTATATTATTTATATAATTAAATATTATAAACCCATCATTCTTACATATCACATCAACTTTAATTCACTATTCATCCACTCACATAATTTAACTACCTATCATTTCCAATCATTTATATCCTACTTTTACATCAAATCATTAATAATCATTTTATTTTAAATATTATTTTAATATATTATTAAAATCTCACTAACAATTAACCATACTATCTTTTTCAAAATTAACTCTAGTTAACTAAAGTAACTCATTTTGAATGAAATATTTTATAAACAAACACGCCCTTAGTATGTCTAGTAAAAAAATAGTCTGATGGAATTTTAGAAATATAAAGATTGAGGAGATGTCCAACTTGTATTTAACTTAGAGAACAACTCTTTATATATAATTACAGATTGTGTAGAGCTTAATATGGCTCGGATAAAAATTACTATTTTTTATTTCAAATAGTTAATTTAGGTTTGGATTGCCATAAATACACATTTAATATATTTAATCTATTCCATATTAATCTATTTATTATCTTTTTTCTATAATGTGCATATTATCTCAGTTTTTAATTTTTTTGTTGTCCATATTATTATCTTATGTGTTTTAAATAAAAATTTTTAAATAAAACTAATGATGTGCATAAATTTAGTTTTCAAAATTCAAAATAATATTGTTAATTCAATTAGTTTTTTATTATAATTGTTATATATTGTTTCTTATTTATTTTTTTCAACTTCAACAAAACCTATAAATATTTTTTTTTCATTTTTTTATATTTAATATTTTATCAAATACCAGTGTTGATCGCACNTATATATGTACAGTTAATTTATTTTTAGAAAGCATTTCCCACTAAAAACATTAATTACCTACTATAGATGGAAATAATATAATATAGACTTAAATAAAAGAAATCATTAATCATAGTTTTCATGTACTTCAACTTTCAGTTTATGTTTGTTTTAGTCAATTCTCAGTTTCCTTTATTTACGTTGGTAATTGTTTGTAGGCAAAGATTATGTAAATAATTAGGCAACCGATTTTGGAATTCTCATTTATAGAGGATTATTTTTTATTTTAGCATATTTTAAAATTATTGATTTGGATTAGCATATATGTTACATACACAAAAAACAATTTTATAGTAGTATTTAAATTTATATGACGCAGATTTAAAATTCTCATCTACAGAGGATCTTTTTCATTAAATCATATTTATTAGAATTAAAGATTTAGATTGGCAAATGTGTTATATACACAAAATAAAAATACATTTGAACATTTAAATTTATTTATGAAGGAACGATTTGTTATGAGATATATACAAATCCTCTCCACAAATCCCTTTTTATGGTGTTGCTTTTTACAACTATTTTTAATAACAAATTTTTGAAATATTGTATAGTAAATCGTATTTCTATTTTTTGTATATAAAAAATATAAATATGCGATGCAAAATATAAGAATTCTAAAAGAATCACAAATTGGGCCTTAATTTGTCAATTCATAAAGATTGTTGGCCCATTCTAGTTTATTGAATTTAAATGGTTTAAGTTTCAACCATTGGTATTCAAAAGCCCATAAATTCGTATCATGTACTCAAAGTCCCTACCAAATCAAGAATTGTGACTTATTTACTCCAAGACACGTCTTCCGTGAACAAGTCCCGAGGGACCATTGGTAGAAAAATAAATTTTGAACCAATTAAATGGCAACAAGTGTCAAATTCTATGTCAAAGTCAGTTTAATAATTTTCTATTTAATTGGAAAATTAATCAAATTTTAATTCTAAAATTAAATAGTTAATTATTTGATTATTTAATATATATTGTTGGGAAATTAAAGAATGTCATGTGTATATTTTGAAGGCAAATTAAAGAATGTCACATATCATTTTCTTGGAGAGTAGAATAAATAATTATTAAAGAGATAAATATTGAAAATTCATGGATCAATCAAATTGAAGTTTTCTTTTCCAAGTCTCTCTCTCCTAATTATCTCTTTAAATAATTATTAAGAGACTAAATATTGAAAATTGTGGACTAGTCAAATTGAAGTATATTTTTCCAAGACTTTTTCTCATAACATCTATAAATAGGGGTTCTCCCTAAGGTCCAAATCACAATTCATATTCAAGTTCACACAATTCATATTCAAGTTCAAGAGCTCTGGAGAATTCTCTAGACGAGATTCAAGTGTTCTTGAAGATTCAAAGGCGTTCTCAAAGATTCGAAGGAAGATTCAAGCGCGTTCAAGCTAAAGACCAACGTTCAATCTGAATACAAGTTGTCTAGCCTCCAAATTACGTTATTAAATTCAACACGAGTGTAGAGAATAAACGTTATTTAAATTATGATGAAAACCAAAGGTTCGTGTTCTTCATGTTCTTGGGAATTACGAGGTCCGATTCGAGATCAAGTTGTCAAGCCCTCGAATAAACGTTATTTAAATTTTCAAAATCAAGATCAACAGAGATCAAATTGAAGATTCGTCTTCAAAAGTCTCAAATCCACTTGAAGATTGTTCTTGAAGAAATTAATCAGAGGAATAATAGAGATTTTTAATCCACTATATTTCATTTGATCCGTTGAAAATAATTTTTTACAAATTTCTCGTTTTAATTAATTAAAGAATACGAAATTTGGCGTTACAAATTTGTACTTCAATTTGATTGGTATATAATTTCTAATATTTATCTCTTAATAATTATTTAAAGAGATAATTAGGAGAGAGAGTTTTGGAAAAGAAGACTTCAATTTGATTGTTCCATGAATTTTCAATATTTATCTCTTTAATAATTATTAAAAGAAATGATTATTTATTCTACTCTCCAAGAACATGATATATGGCATTCTTCAATTTGACTTCAAAATATACGCGTGGCATTCTTTAATTGGCCAACAATACATATTAAATAATTAATTAATTAAGTATTTAATTTAAAAATTAAAATTTGATTAATTTTCCAATTAAATTGATAATTATTAAATTGATTTTGACATAGAATTTGACACTTGTTTCCATTTAATGGGCTCAAAATTTATTTGTCTACATGTACATCTCGAACAACTCCTTCATTAGACAAACTTATCAAATAAGAATAGTCAGTATGCCCAAGATGTTGATTTCAGATCTCAGCGTCGCGAGGAATAGCCTGATGACATTGGAGCCAACATCAACCAAATAACAGATGTCAGCCGAACGTAAACCTGCAAACATCATTATCATCCCTCACAATGCGCTTATTTTGAGAAAAACTCACATTAAACCCTTGATAACATAGTTGGCTAACACTAATCAAGTTAGCTTTCAAATTTTTAACAAGTATGACATCTTTTAGTTTAGGTAACCTTTAAATATTCAAGCAATCAATACTTATAACTTTGTTACTGGCTCAATCACTAAAAATGACCACACCACTAGACACAAACTTTATATCACATAAGCATGAAAGTTTACCAGTGATATGTCCAGAGCAACCACTATCCAAATACCGTGTATCTCTCAAGGAGATTTTCGACGACAACACAGATGCAAAACACTTATATTTATCTTTACAACCAAAATCTTTTGTTGCATGTGATTTTTTTAGATCAACTTTTTATTTTGAAACCTTCATGGGTATACCTAACTGATTCCACTGCCTCACTTTTCTTACATATAAACCATGTTGCATCATATAAGATCTAGGACGTATATGACTAGTGATTCCATAATAATGGCACACATGAACAAAATTTTTCACATGTACCTTTGGATGTTGGTTCATCTCAGGGAGATTTTTTTTTTATCAGGCGAGCTGGGAACAAACGTAACATATAAATTTTGAACTTGTTTATCTTTGGTGTTAGAGTACTCATTTTTGCCTTTCTTGTCCGGTATGACCCAACCCTTGTTGACCAACTTGTCTATTTCTCATGTCCAAGAGCATATCAATATCAGCCTTACCTTTGTTCATTTTTCTCATAATTTGAGATGTTCATTCAAGCTAAACTATTTTTCCTCTATATTGTAGTCGTATTGGGCCAGGTTCACATGTTCGTTCATTAACCGAGAGAATTCACCTTTGAGAGTTCCAACTCCCTTATCTTTATCACCTGCAATATTTTGCAACGCAAACTGTTCAATTTTTAAGTATTTAATGACTTGATCCTTTTTAGCACTTGCGTGTTTGGATAATTTCAGTTCACTCTCAAGGATGATAGTTCGTGAAAGTGCGCACTAAAGCTCAACCTCCTTCTCATGCGTAAAAGACAAGGTCGATTAGTCATTTAGTGTGTCATTGATCTCTCTCATGTTTTGGAGGTCCTTCAGGTATTCAACATCTTTATATGTGTCAACTTGATGTACATTCATCTTGAGAGTTTAATTTGAGCACGTAGATTTTTCATCACTATTGTAGCTTGTATGCACTTTTCCATCATCAAGAGATGTACGGGATCAGCTCACGTGCTTAGATCTGCAGAATCATTTGATCCATCATAATCAAAATTATGAGAATGAAAAAATTCTTGCCAAATTTAGAGCCGAAAGGACTATATGTAGAGGTAAGGCACATAAAATTGTCCAGATGGTGGACGACCATGTTGTTAGTATATGATGTTGGTTAATTTGTCTGCTCTTCATCAGCCCAAGTTGCCTTTTGAGTTTTGTTCTTCTTCTTCTTCTTTTCTGGTTAGCACACTAAAACTGAAAGTGCCCAAACCTTTGCATTCTCTGCATTGGTCCTTCTCGAATTTTTGGTTCTCCGTCTTGGAAACAGTGATGTTAGCTAGCTTTTCTTGTGAAAGAGCCTTGCTAAAATTTGTTGGTTTCTTCCCTTGAAATTTATTCTTGTACAGCTTCTGACACACAGGGCCATAATTTCTGGCAATTAGTGCAATAGCTTCCTTAAATTCAACATCCTCCAATGAACAATCATCAGCATTGTTGTCTTCACTTTGAGATGGAGAAACAGCTTTCAAGCCCAATCCCTTATTCTTCACCTTGTCATAGTCATTGTTAATTTGAAATGTTCGAAGGTTGCCAAGACCTAGAGACTTGAGTCATTGAAAATTTTCAAGAGCAGTGATTTATTCATGAAACGAGTCAGGAGTGTCCTCATGATGTTTTGAACTTGTCGGATTTCTGAGATGTCTTCAGCCAACATTGCACTTTGATTCACGATGTCGCAAAATCTTGAGTAGTACATGTCGATGGTCTCATTCTCCTTCATTCTTATGTCATCAAAGTCCGAAGTTATGTGTTGAAGCTTGAAATATTTTACCGCATTCGACCATTCGAACTAAATTTTCAAAACAGTCCATGCATCCTTTATTGTGGTGCATTAGATGATCATCTTGTGTCGAGTGTGATAAACAGCCATGAGAATGGGCATATAAAGGTCGAAAGTTAGTCTCTTCTAGCATTCTTTCCTTGTCAGTCCATATGTCGCGTAGTTTGAGCACTTCATCGGATAGTCCATCGGCATGGCCTTTCTCCAGAGCTCTCTTCATCATCGGATGTTTCCACCTATTCTCAATACTTTCCACGCGCTTTTCCTAGTAAGCACAAAAAATGGTCATCATCGATTTTCAATAGGAATAGTTCGACCCATCAAGCGGGTGGGTCGGGAAATAGATTCATCGTCGTGATTCGTGATAGCCAAGTCACAGGCCACAGGATCTTCGTGAGTGAAACGAAAACACGCTCTGGTGCCAATTGAAATTTCGGTTAAGGACAAATTTACACTTGTACAAAAAACAAGTAAATTTGCTAAAGCCAATAACTAAAAACGAACTTTCAAAAGAGCGTCTCACTCTCCCTTAGAATACTTTCATTAAGTAAGTGTTTGGTCAATAAGTATAAATAGGAATTACTCGCCTAAACTCCCTCTAGCTAACATAATTTGTACCCCACCTATCTAACTATTATTCAGGTCACGGCGTGAACTTAAGTAGCATGTATGGATCCCTCCAAGTAATACGAAAATGCTTGTCTCAAGCACCAAGTAGAAAAACAAACAGACAACTCGAATTACCAGCGAAGTACCAACATGCTGGAATCCGATGACTTAATAAAAACAAAATAAAACTCACGAGCTCCAAATGATAAAAACGCTAAGCTCTCTAAAAGAATAATGGAATATCTCACTTCCTAACCAGAACTCATGAAACTAAACTATATACAGAACTATAAACGATATGCAGGTTCATAAAAAATATGGAGTTTCCAAATCTTCACGATCTTCTCGTTCAATTTTGGAAACAAAATATCCATGTCTTGTAAGTCATCATACACGAATATCTTGTCCAAATCCTTCATATTTAATCGTGTCTTTCTCTCTTTAATATATGGAACTTTCTTTTCTTGTTACTTTGCTAACTTTTGAAAATACCTTCTTGCTCATTTTATTTTCTTTCTTGCTCGATTTTTCCATCTCTTACCCTCACGTTTTTCAGCTTTCAAATCTCATTTGAGTATCTTCCTTTTACTATAATTGCTCTTCCTTTTCCTACAAGTAAAAGAAGACAATTAAATACATATTTTAAGAGAATGTCAATACTAAGAAAGGAGAATATATATGAAATCCCTCGGGTAAAATATACATACACACCCTGTATTATATGAAATCTGCACGCTTTTCCCTGATATTTCAAAAATTGCGTCAGACCCCCTTGTATTAACTAACTGTTGCACGATTCCCCCCTCTCCGTCCAACTTGATAGCGCGTGCAACACACATTCATGTACTGCGATAATTATTCATTTTTTTCATTTATTTTTTTATTTTAAAATTGAAATTTACTATTTTGCTCCTTGCTTTTCTACCAATTGTTGGGCAAAAATTAATGTTTTGCTGCTCCTTGAATTCGAACCTGGGCCAAAACATTAATAGGCAAGACCTCAAACCACTTGGCCACCATCATTCTATGGTACATATTTAACACAGATTCATTTAAACAACACCAATAGGGGAATACTTAATCAAACAAAAAATAAAAAATAAAATAAACACAAAATAATGTAATTATAAGAAATGTAATTAAAATAAAATAAAAACTAAATTGAATAAAATTAAATGTAAAATTTGAAAATAATAAATAATTATACTACTATTTAATATAAAAAGAAAAATAAATAAAATTAAAATATACGTTTTATAAATTGAATTAATATAATTAAAAAAATTAAAATAAATTAAATTTATTTATAAGAAAATAAAATTATATATATGTATATAATATATTATGAAAGTATTAATTTGCAAATAAACTATTTTCTATGCAATAACTATATATGATTTGTATTTAGATTTTTTATTTATTTGTTATATTATTTTATTTTTTAAAATGTTCGATATATAAATTTAAATTTTTCAATAAAATTCTTATTTTTGATTTTGTAATAGATAATTTAAATACTTATTATTTATTCATTCTATTTATTTTAAATACTGGTAAATGTGTAATAAATAAAAAATACTATTTATAATGGAAAAAACTATTAATTAAAATATCAAGTATCCTTTTTTAGATGAAACAAGTGGCGCTAGTTGAGAATAACCCGCAGGTCAAGAAAAATCCCCGGTTGAACAAAAATTCTGTTGAAATTTACAGATCCGAAATTTTCTCTTCCTTGACCCGACGTAAACCCTAGCTCCCGACATCCAATTTCGCTGCGATTAGCCTTCTCCGGCGAAGGGGCGGCTCAGGCCAGTGGTCACCCTCAACCGCTCGGCCGTCCCCGCCATCGCGTCTCTTTGGATTTTGCTGCTAAGGGTCGCTCTGATGTGTGCTCTGCCCAAGGTCGCCGGCAAGTTGTGACTGCGGTGGTGTTCGATCTGAGGTGGGTGGTTTCCCTGGAAGCCGGCGATCTTTGATTGGATGGTTAGCCACTCAATTGTAGCGGGTCGATGCTTGGAGGTTCATTGGTTCAGGATGGGCTTCTGGGTTTGGATTTTGGGGATCGAGCTCGCGATGGCAGCGGCCTGCGGTGGTGTTGAGAGGCGTATTGGTCGGCGGGCGGTTCGAGGCTCCGGCGGCCGTGATGTATTCCGTCTGGGTGCGGGAGTAGCAGGTACGGGTAGCTCTCTTTCCATCTGGTTCTCTGGTGTTGGGAAATTGGTGGGCCCGACGCCTATTAGCTTGGCTAGTGGTGTTAGGCGAGCTAGTGCGGGGCTGTCGTAGGGAGCTGGTTGTCCTCTCGGTCGAAGGTGGGTTGATCGGGTTAGTCTCGTGGTCCGGGTTTGGCTTTTGTATAGGCGTTCGGCAGCAGTTTCGGAAGTTGGGCCTCGGGCTTCGGACCTTTCTTGGATTGATTGGTTCTCTACTGGTTCAATCTGCTTTATTTGCTGGGGAAGGGCACTATGTGTCGTCTTTAATTGTTTTGTTGTTTTTTTAGTTTGTGTTTTTGTCTGTATTGTGTTGTCTGTGTTTGTGTTTTTATATCTGTGTCCGTGTTGTTTTTGTGTTTTAGGTCTGGGTCACTTGGCCCCTGTGCGAGGGATTACTCCGTTGGAGTCGTCCCACATTACCTCGTTGGGGGTCGTTCCGCAGTTAGGTCGTTGGTGTTGTGTTATTGTGAGTTTTTTTTCTAGCGTTGCTAGTCGTCTCTAGGCGGTCTTTTAGACCTGTCCTCCCAGTTTTATTCAGCTGTGGCTGTATTATTCAGCCATGTGCTGTGTACTTGCACATTTGTGCGTTTTTGTTATATAATACTTTCTATCGTTTCCTAAAAAAACAAAAAAAAAAAGTATCCTTTTTTATGAGATTTAAATAATATAAATAATTTCTGTATTTTATTTATATTTTAATTCAAATAAATATAAACTTTTATAAAATTATTCGTCTTATTTATAATTTAGAATCTCTTTATTTAGTCTTTGTATTATTTATAATTTCGAATATATTAACTTAATTGATATCATTTATAATTTAGAATTTATTTAGTTAGTCATTATATTATTTATAATATAGAATATATTTACTAAATTCTATTATTTGTAATTTAAAATATATTTACTTAATTATTATATGATTTATAATTTAGAATCTAATTTTATTAAATTATTATAAATATTTTTAATTTAGGATATACTTATTTAATTATACATAATATAATTATAATGTACATTATAAGTAATATATTAATTCTGTAATTTATTTTATCATAATTGAGTAAATAGATTAGAATATATTATTTATAATTTAGAATCAATTTACTCAATTATTATAAAAAATATATATAGTGAATTGTTATATTACTTATAAGTTATAATTATCATTATATTATTTATAATTTTGAATATATTTACTTAGTTACTATATTCTTTATGATTTATAATTATCATTATACTTTAGAATATAATTTATTCAATTATTATATTATTTATAATTTAGAATCTATTTATTTATTCATTATTCTAAAATTTATTTAATTAATTATTATATTATTTATTATAAAATATATTTATTTAATAATTATATTATTTGGAATTTATAATCTCTTTATTCAATCATTATATTATTTATAATTTAAAATTTATTTTATTTTTTTTTTTTCCAACGATAAAATTACTCCATTCATAACTAAAACAGTAACAGTACAAGGGGAATCCCCGAATCCTGGGTCACTGGGAGGACAAGCCAAAATGGCTGCCTAGACGAGATCACACCACAACTGAATGACCAAAGCATGCCTACTACAGCTAATACATCCATACTACATAACCCAATACAAGGACACAAACATAACAGACAAATACGGAAAAATACACCACTGACACTAGACCTAGTCTATCCCTCCGCAATCCTGTTATGTCTTCTTGTTGCTTTCCTTGAAGTCCAACCAATCTTTCATGGCAGCTTGAACAATCCATCTCTCCGAGTACCATTTCTTCTCAAAAATCCATAAATTTCTGGCCCGCCATAACCACCATAGGATATAAGTCGATAACTGTATTCTGGCCTCAGAAATTTCCTTGTAGTTCATAGAAGAAATCCATCACCACCATTCTTTAAAGCTCATTTTCTCCTGCTGTATTCTGTTCCATTTCACTGGTGCCAATTTCCATGTCAGTTTGGCTCTACCACAGAAGAAGAAAACATGCTCCTGTGTTTCCTCCTCTTCACCACAGATCCTGCACATAAGCTGTACATCCATTCCTCTCTTAAGCAAATTAGAACTAACAGGAATAATACCTGAGAAGCATTGCCATATAAACAGTTTGACCTTCCCCATCACTTGCAGATTCCAGCATCTGTTTCTAGCCCTTTTGTTCCCCTCTGCCATTCTGCTACATTCAGTAATGTTGCTGTTGTGCCTATCATTTTTCATCAGCCACGAATAAGCTTGTTTAACAGAAAACTTCCCTTTCCCCTTCCCTTGGAAAGAGCACCTCCATTTGTCAGCCACATTTGGATTCAGAGTATTGATTTGCAGAATCAGATTAGCATCCCTTTCTTCAAATAAAGCTTTAATCAGAGTTGAGTCCCAGTGCAAACCTCCAGCAATGAGGAGATCCTTTACCCAGAAAAGGCTGCCATTTATTTCAGCTTTCAGTGTTGGAGATCCACCATTCAGTCCAGGAACCCAATTGCATTCACTGATCTTTGTTTTAGCACCATTTCTGACAGTGATCTGGAACTGTTTCTGCAGAATAGGTAAAAGAGAAGCCCAAGAGGTCCACAGCCAAGAAGCACCACCAGTATTTTTCCATTCAAAAATAGAAGTCACAGGAAAGTACTTACTGCGCAGCACCTTGCTCATAAGTAGATCAGGTTGCTCAGTAATTCTCCATAGCTGCTTCATGATCATAGCTTTATTGAATAGTTTAAGGTCCTGAAACCCTAGCCCACCTTCACCTTTAGGCATAGCCATTCTTTCCCAAGCCAGCCAATGAACACTTCTCCTTTGATTGTCACCCTTTGCCCACCAGAAATTTGCCAGTAATCTGCATATATCTTTACAAACACTCTGTGGCAAAATGAAACAGGACATTACAAAGACTGGTAGAGCACTTAGGACTGACTTTATGAGTGTTTCCTTCCCAGCTGTGGAAAGAAAACAATTCTTCCACCCACTAATCCTTTCCCTAACAGCCTCCACCACAAATTGAAAAGTTTCAACCTTAGAAGCTCCAATCCCAAGTGGCAGTCCCAGATACTTAGAAGATCTCTTCACAATGATCCCTTGCAGAATAGAGCAAATCTTGCTCTTAGTTGCCTCGGCACAATTTTTACTCAAGAACATAGATGATTTGTGGAGGTTCACCTTTTGCCTAGCAAACTTCTGATATTTGTGAAGAATTTTCAGTAGAAGAGTGGCATGGTCTTCATCAGCTTTGCAAAACACCAGGGCATCATCAGCAAATAGAAGATGAGACAGCATAGGCCCATTCTGAGAGATTCTGATACCTGAGAACTGATTTATAGTGATCTTATGCTGCAGATAGGCAGAGAATAGCTCAGATACAATGATAAAGAGATATGGTGACAAAGGGTCACCCTGCCTGATCCCCCTGGAAGCAGTAACATAGCCACAGACAGTGCCATTAAGATTGAATGAGAAGGAAGGATATGAAATACAGCTAAGAACTCTGTGAACAAACTTTGCATGAAAGCCCATTTTGAGCATAGTTTTCCTGATACTCTCCCATTCCACCCTATCATATGCTTTCTCCATATCCAATTTAATAGCCATGAATGCATTAGCACCAGATCTATGCCTATGAAGATAATGGAAGACCTCATGAGCAATAACCACATTATCAATTAATTGCCTACCAGGGACAAAAGCTGTCTGAGCCTGACTGATGCATTCATTAAGACAGATTTTCAACCTCTCAGCCAGTATCTTAGCAATGAGCTTATACAACACACCACACAAGCTTATAGGTCTATAGTTGCTCAATGTTTCAGGGTAAAAGCATTTTGGTATCAGGGTAATGACAGTATGTTTCCAGTTTCTCAACACATGCCCAGAATCAAAGAACTCCTTCACAGCCTTGCACACATCCCCTTTCAAAATATGCCAAAAATGTTGGAAGAAAATTGCTGACATACCATCATTTCCAGGAGCTTTTTCAGGGGCCATGTTGAAGAGAGCGGTTTTGATTTCTTCCTCCAGCACTGGTTTGATTAGTTCATTATTGACAGCATCCGATATGGAGTAAGGTATCTGTTGAAGAAGCTCCTCTCCATCCCTGGACCCCTCTGAGGTAAACATAGTAGAATAAAAATCTGAAATGTGATGCTTCATGGTTTCCTGAGTGTCACAAACCACCCCCTCATTAGTTACCAGCTTGGATATTGTGTTTGTTCTCCTTCTCTGTGAAGTAGCAGCATGGAAATATTTTGTATTCTTATCACCAGCTTTGAGCCATAGAACTCTTGATTTAAGCCTCCAAAACTGTTCTTCTGCTTGATGAGCACTGTCAAGTTCAGTTTTTAAAGAGTTCCAAGCTTTCCAGTTCCTATCAGGTCCCTCACACCTCATCTCTTCCAAAATGCCAGTGAGATGCTTAATAACAACAGCATTATTCCTGTGCATGGGTTTGTGCCAAGCTAACAGTGCCATCCTTGTGTTCTTAACTTTTTGATGAACCTGGTACATAGCAGTACCCTCCATATCCCCCTGCCAGCCATTCTCCACAGCCTCTTGAATACCTTCTAGCTTGAGCCAACTGCTATTAAAGACAAATCTCTTGTGCTTTCTGCCTATCTCTTTGTCAGTATCAATGAGTATCACATTGTGATCAGAAGCAGTTCTATAAAAATTTGATACTTCCATTTTTGGAAATTGGCCCATCCAGTCATAAGAGACAAACACTTTATCCAATCTCTCCTCAACATACCCATCCTCAGCTCTGTTATTACCCCATGTAAAGAAAGAGCCGATCTGATCCAACTCCTGCATCTTCATTCTGCCAATGAATTCATTGAAGCCCACAAAACTAGCAGGACTCCTTGTCACTCCCCCCCTCTTCTCAGCATTACTAGAAATATCATTCCAATCCCCAGCTATAGCCCAACAACCTCCCCACTTTGGTCTACAGGTCTCAAGTTCTTCCCATTGCAGCTTCCTAATACTTCTGTCAGTACTTAGGTATACAAAAACAAACCAGCACCATTCAGATATTCCTGGACCTTTGACTTCCATCTGGATACAGAAGTCATTCCCCACAAGTTGTCTCACCTCAGTATCAACATCCCACATGACTAATAACCCCCCTCTAGTCCCCAAAGGTTTCTCCAAATGCCATCTATTCTGGAAACCCAGTTTTTTACACACAGTTCTTGTGAAGTCACTAGATTTTTTGGTCTCAGATAAAAATATAATATTAGGGTGATGGATCCTTCTGGAATCCTTGATTTGGGAAACTGTAGAGGGCCCACCCAACCCTCTACAGTTCCACACCATGGCCTTCATTGGTCACATTGGGGCCACTTGAGGCTGGCCTTCTCCACCTGCGATTGCCCAAAGTTTGTCTTCTTTCTCCTATCCACAAGAGGTTCCTCAGTTTCTTCAGTCTCCTCAGTATAAAACACAAGTTCCCTGCTCCTTTTTATTCCAGTGATATTCTCTTCCTCTTGGAAAGTTTCAGAAATCCTAGATAGCCTCCCACCTGTAGTAACTCTCCTTTTCCATCCTGCACCATTTGCCTTTTTCCCTATCTTACCACTAGCCTCCTTAGTCAGCTTTTGAGAAGAACTAGGCATTACTTCCATTAAATCATCTGTCTCCCTCAAAACAATGCTGTTTAAGTGAGACTCCATATTTTCAGAGTCCATTGCTTCCCTTCTGACTAAAGCAAGATTGAGGTTGTCCTCTCCAGTCCTCTCAGCACTTTCAATAATCTCCATGCCCTGTGGTGGTTTAGAAGGTTTATCAGCTCCTCGGGCCTCCTCGTTGCTTTCCTGTTCTTTGTTTGTCTTGGTTGGTTCACAAGATCCTTGTTTTGAGATTATAGGAGGAGTACTCACTCTTGCTCCCGAAGTACTAGAGAAACTACTTCTCCCCCCCGGTGTTGATTCACTTGCTTTAAGCCACTCACCAAATTGCCCTTCAGAAACGGCTTCTTTCTCAATATCCTCAATTCTTCGATCACAAGCTCTATCCAGATGCCCAATCATTCCACAATAGTAGCAGAGGTTTGCAAGTCTTTCATACCTGAAAGCAACTAAGACTTTTTCATTGCCAAGCTTGACACTAGTGCATCTCGGAATAGGTTCGTTCAGATTTAGAGCCACCAGAATCTTTAGAAAACTACCAGTTTCTCCACCTGTTTTACAAACCACAACATTCTTAACTTTATTGAAAATTTGTCCAATCCGCAACCCAACTTCTGTGCTCATCCAGTTCAGAGGTACATTGATGACTTGCACCCATATGTTGATTTCCTCGAAACATGAGTGGTTACTATGTAGCCCCGGAAACCATTCTTTAAGAATAAGATACTGGTTCTCATACAGCCAGTTGTTACCAGCAACTACCTTCCGTTTGTCTTCCATTGAATTGAAAATAAACTGGAAGAAGTTTGAGCTTATCTCCTTTACCTCCATTGCAGTTTGTAGTTTCCAGATTGCCCCCATTGTACATTTTATTCCCAAAATGCCAGCTTTCCTATCTCCCACGACTTTCCCAAATAAGCTCATCGCACATTCTTCCTCGCTCTTTTTAACATCTTCATTTCTCAGTTCAATCTCTCCTGCTTCCTTCGCCGAGAAAGATATAGCCTGAAGCTTTTTCATGACCCCCTCCGTCATTCCACTATATGAAGCGTGACCTGGAGATTTATCCCCCATTTGATCAGACCAGTAACCCTACTGCTCCAAAAAAAACCAACCCAACTTGCAACTCCAATGCTCACGCCTGATCTTCCCAAACTCCAAATATTCACAATAAGTATGAATCGAGTCTCCCTCTCAACCTTCACCGAAGGAATATCCGAGCTCTCACCTGAGAGAATATTTCGCTCTCACCTGAGAGAATCGATTGTATCCAATTCAATGGTTCATTTAAAATTTATTTAATCATTGTATTATTTATATCTATATAACGAATTATTATATTATTTTTAATTTATAATATATTTATTTAATTATTATATTATTTATAACTTAGAAAATATTTACTTAATTATTACGTATTTATAATTTATAAACTATATACTTAATTATTATATTATTTATAACTTAGAGTCTATATACTTAATTATTACATTATATAGAATCTATATAATTCATTATTATATTCTTCATAATTTAGATCTATATAATTAATTATTATGATATTTATAATTTAGAATCTATATACTTAATTATATGATATTTCCGCTATACAGTGTGATATATATAGATAAAATCACATTTATAACTAAATGAGTAGTAGCCCAGTTGGTAAGAGTTGTCTTTTACATCACAAAGGTGGTGCGTTCAATCCCCACCATTGAAATTTTACTTTTAAGTCAATATATTAACATTAAGGGTAAAATGGTAAATTCAATGTTAAAGTAAGGGTATAAAGGTAAATTCAATGAAAAATTAACGCCGTCAGCATTAAAGTAACGGCGTTAACTGGAAATGGCGAGTATGCATGCAAACATGAAATAGAAGGGGGTTTGACGCAATTTTTAAAATATCGGGGAAAAACGCGCAGATTTCATATAATACAGGGGGATTTCATGCAATAAACCCGAAATCCCTCCCTATATATTAATTCAAAACGTGCTGAGCCTAAGTGGCTTGCTCGCATGCTTCGGGTTACTATGTGACAAAATTACATGGTTCGTTATTAGGCTTGAGTATATTTGAATTACTTCCAATCCAAAATTAGGTTCAGATTATCCATAAATATATTGATTATTTATGGTCATGTTACATGCACTAATTGCATTTTAATATCATTCTTATTATAACCATTGAATCGTAAATATATTTTAAAAGTTAAAAACTTTTTATTTTTTTATCAGTTTTACATATATAATATATCAAATTCATCATCTCTTGATGAGTTTCGATTTAATATCCATATTGTATGTATAAATAAAAATAAATTATATTTATCTTTATAACAATAATAAAATTATTTTTTTAATATTAATTAGAAAAACAAAAATATTTATCAATTCATATATTTATATTTCAAGTAGTTATATGATATAGTTATAAATATTACTATAATGTAACACATGTAAGTCACATAAGTAACAAGTGTCATTCTAAAATATATATTAATATATATTTTTTCGTAAAAAATAAAATAAAATTTAAAATAATGTTTCATTAATTTTAAAATTTAAAAATAAATTTTGAACAAACACCCGTGTAATACACGGGTGTTGTACTAGTCTCTTATCTAATATCTTTCATTTTCTTACAAACTAAAAGAATATAATTAATTCCAAATACATAGTAAGAGAATAACCAAGATATAAGAAGTTAAGATGAGAAAATTTTCTTTTTCTCCTCAAGCATGGATTCCATGTTACATATTTCAAAAAACATAAATATGATAAATAAATAGTATTTTCGATTAGTGCCAAATTCAATTTTTTTATACATGTGAATTCCAAAAATCCATGTGGAATTTGAGTAGGGAATTATCAACATTCTAATCCGAAAACAAGGTTGATTTTAAGTAAATGAAGATCTTACAGCAGAATGTTAAAAAGCATGGAACTATAAAATGGGCTAAGAAGATCACATCTCACTTTCCAGCCTCTTTCCACAGAGTTGCTAGACTATACCCGGAAACAAAGTAATAATTTTTCCAAGAATGCACCCTGAGCACCAAAAATAACTAATGAAACGAGTGCATATGCAAATCACGGGGGCTTCCCGTTATCCAAGTCCTCCATCACATCAATTTCTGTGCGAGCTGTTATTTTCTGCACATATCCTGCAACAACAAAATATGTAGTGTGTATATGAGTTATGACACAAGTATGATTGGACAAGTGGGAAATAAGAAAAAAAAATGGTGAAGCAAAATAGCAGAAGAAAAAAAAATGCGACATATCAAACTCATGCAGCAATGAGATGCCTACAAATCAAATAGCTGAGAGATTTTACTCTGAGGAAAAATATGGCTCTCAAATTCCAGTAGAACCTTGTGGCTCAATAACATAGCAACCTGGGGTTTTCTACCAAATTACTTAATATAGGCAACTCACTACTTCACTAAGGTTATTGAATAAGAAATGGAAATATTAACCACGGAGTTTCTTAAAACAGGTCATACAATATAAAGGAGATAGCTACCAAAACCAGCCCTAAGGTTTCCTGTGGTGACCAAGAAACCAAATAAGTTTTTCAAAAGTTAGTCGAAGTGTTAATCGACCTTTGTTTTTNCTTTCAATTAAGCCCATTCATAGAGGTAACAGAATTTGCTCATATCATCATGTATTTCGCCATTCAACTCTATATTTTAAACGATCTAAGTAACTATAGGTAATATATAATAAGCTGAGGAATAAAATGTGTTCAACATAAGATGAAAAGCTACGGTTATGCCAATATAACATTATTAAGAGAAAATGACTGATTTTTTCCTCACCTAAATCTCACCAAGAACTTAAGTGGATTGAAGCTTAAAAAAACCACAACACAAGTTGCTCAACTCAGTGTGGTTATTAAGACTAGTTCGGAGAACAAGTATCGAGAGTTGTCAATAGTAACTTTTCCACGTAGATTAACTCGAACATAGAATCACTTAATAAGCCTAGTATGCTCCATCTAGGATTAGTCGTGCTTTATGTGAGGGATTGTACCAGATTGCCTGAATTTAACTACAGGGTTTATCTTTTGAGATATTTTCAGTTGTTCCAATGGAAAATATTGCAGAAGTAAGGATTTTCTCGCACAACTTCCCACGTCTAACATCTAAAGAACATGTGGACCATGGAATGATCTCAGACTTAAATATTCTAATGAGTTGCATTTCAATTAGAAAACTTTAAATTTAATGAAAAGATAGGTACAACAGACAGTGCTGCCTACACACAACACGAATTGCCTTCTGCCAATCACGGGCTAAACCAGAAGCAAACCTAGATAGATCTGAATTTCACATTAACTATGCCAAAAATGGTTCAATGTAGGAGGCTAAGTATTGAAAGCTGATGTCTAAAGCTTTTAGGCCAAAGAATGTCTTTGCAAGCTGAAACTTTATGTTCGTAGTTATGTCATGCTTTCACAATCCTCTTTCAGTCATGTTAGATAGATAATTCCAGTCCAAAACAGAGAACAAATAACATTCTTAGCATATGTGATGACAGAGAGAAAACATACCAATGCCAAGGCAAGGAATGCATTTGCAGATGGTCTCTTTTCCTTTCTTGTTATAATAGCTGACCAATCCTGTCCCTTGACAACTACGACATTTTCCGGTCCATTCATAGACCATTGGCTTGCAATCCTACTAACGAGAAGGAATAAGAAATTTGCATTAGCATATATGCCTTGCGAAGGAGATAACAAATTATTGTCTTGTGGTGATAAAAAGGCAGATACTACCCAAGATAAGTATTTTGATAAATATTACCATAAGATAAATATCATTCTCTTATATAAAATCTAAGATATCTACATGTTCGGAACAATATCACCACAGCTCTTTTTTCTTAAAAAAACGAGCAGAGAAATTAGGTAAAATTGAAACTGATCATTTTTTTTTTCCCCAGCTGAAATCAGTTTAACATCAAGAAACATTAAAAAATCTAAAACAATAAATTATTTCAAGTTTTCAAGAACTAATCTCAACAATAACAGAGAACTCAGGGTGGTCTAATCAGCCAATACAAAATTTCAAGCTTACTTTTTATCCCCAAATAAAAGTCAACAATCAATTCATACCATTATTTCAGGATCGCAATTGAGCCTCTTGTCGATTTCCTCAAGCGAAACGGGAGATGAATTGGGGTACGTCATCGGAAGAGGCAAAGGCTCGTCGTCGTCGGTAAGGTAGCTCTCGCGATTCCTCGACCATTTCTCCTTGGCCTTGATTTTCGAATGCTTATTGCTGTCACTGGAAGAGACTGACCCGACATTATCCGCTGTGTTTCGGCCGCCGCCGGCGTCCAAAGAGGTCGGAAAGCTGAACCACGAGCGCGAGGACGCGTCGCCGACGGCGGCGCGCACGCGGAAGGCTGAGATTGGAGCGCGGAGCGGGAGAGCAGGAGGTCTCGGCAGGGGCAGGATTGAGTTAGGGTTTATCGGCAACATTCCATATAAAATATCTGAATTGAGAGAGAGAGAGAGAAAGAGAGAGAGAGAGGTCAGTTTGAGGCGTAGGAAGTTGAACTATAAGCTCGAAAGGTAGAAATGGTGGACTTAGAGGAATGGAGGTGGGCTTATTTATATCTACAAGCTTTGATTTTGCTTTCCGCGTGTTGTCTCCATATCCACCATGAGTAACTGCATCCTCGTCGTCGTCCTCGGGGATAGAGTCTCGGTTTTGCTCGTACAATGAAGGCTATGAAGTAAGTATGAACATTTATTCTTATTAAATAATTTATTTATTTTTTTTAGACTAAAGATATAATTATTAGTTGTAATAAGCCTTGTATTATTCGGTATGGTAGTCAACTCCTGCGACACGCAGGGAGACTCATTACCACATTTTTGTTACAAATTAGATTAAACATAATTTGTCTAATAAAAACGCACACTGGAAATAAGAAAAATCATATATTATTGAACTCTTTGTATACAAAATTCTTGATTTGATGTTTTGATTAGTGGCCTTCCCCATAAATTAAGATTTTCAAACTCTTCGGTAAGTGACACGAGAGAAAACAACTCATAACTGACCATTGAATACCAATTTCTTAAAGAATAAACCAACATTCGATGAGGGATCGTCTTTAATTTTTATTTATAGTTGGTATGTAAATGACCTCGGACCGGCTCGGTTCGACCATGATTGCCTTCCTCACCAATCAAAGACCTGTTTAACCTGCAAAATAGGTAGAGAGGTGTTCCCGATGTTAGCACTTCGGCGATCAAGTCAGTCACAGATGAAGACGATGAACAGTAGTGTATATGAAGCTCTGTAAGTGTAGAGAATGTATCTATGAATGGGCATTTTACCTCACTCCTTGATACAGGGGTATGTTACCGTGTTGCCTAAGACTGTTTGGATATGCTGCCCAACTGCCCGAACTGCTTGAACTATCCAATTCTGTTAGACCACGTGGGTCTTTCCACATGTGGTTCTTATCTTAAAAATATTCTTTCTTATCCATTAGTCTGCCTTATTAGACAGTCTAATTGTGCGACTGACCCAAATTACCTCGAAGTGGAGTGTTGCCTGTGCTGAGCTCGTATGCTCTACTCATTTGATCGATCCATCGACCGGTCTTACCTCCAGTTTGAGTTTCAACTAGGCCACCCAAGTGCCCTAGCTCGACCTATTCGTGCTCCTTGGATCTGTGACGTCCTCATCAACCTGAGGATTATTCGACGTATAATGCCTTCGATCTCTGTTCGACCTACCAGTTAACCCGGTTCTGTCATGTTGTTTCTCAGGTGAAGTCAACCCAGTATGGTATCTCATATCAATAGTCATGGCACGGCGCAAGAAACCATAATGTAGAACTGCCGCCACAGGAACTTGAAAGAAATTTTAACATCAGAAAGAGTTATAGTTATTCTAGGATTCAACACCTTATCCCATGCGTGATCACCAGTGAGTATCTTATACTGGAGAGCATGAGTGGAGAGCTTTGTCACAACCAATCGTGCCTCATTACACAGACCGTAAAATGGTCCATGTTCCGCAACAACATGACTGAAGTTCCAATCTTTAAATGCAACTCATGATTCGTATTCCTAAACATTTGATATTATTCAAGAACTCAGACTTGTGGAGATCAGACAAAAAGTTGTTATTAGAATCTAACTTGCACGTATTGTAACAACTTAAGTACATATAACCATTAGACAAATTCAATAATATCATATATTCATTGATTGACTCAACGACATCCAGCATCAGTGCCAATATAACCATGTCCTTCATATAACAAGGACCATCAGTTATCTCTTTAAACATTGGGTATGTGCTTTCAACAATCTGAGCAATTGAAACATCACATGGCATAGGCAATATATTTCCAGGTATGTCTGTCATTGCATATAAATCTATAATAGTTGATTTATTCAACGTGTTATAAAAATGAATTGAATAATAAAATAATATTCTTAATAATTGTCTCTAGAGTTTCATAGATAGAATCAACTGAACTAACAATAACATCCTCATCTTCTTGCCGTTGTAGCTCGGTCTTAACTACTATTGAGCTACTTCACACCGGTTTGGTTTTCTTCAGCTGGCTTGTGTCACATACTTCATAAAATAAATTATATAAAAAATGAAATAAATAAATTTTTAAGACACAAAGTATTGTTATTAATATTTATTAATAGTACCTTCTGTGAAAATCTTGAATTTTTGGAACAATGTCCACGTCGATCAATAGTGTGTTAGATTCTATGATGAGCGTCAGATCTATGATATGTTTGAATTTGCACAATTAATACTTACACAAAGCGGATCTAAGAATATGATTAATTGTACCGTCGGTTATTGCCGAATTTGGATTATTACACTTTCTACGGGACCAGACAAACATGCAACCTCATGACCTCAAAGTCTTCTATTGTACTCCTTCATTTTGGTCGGAAGTCGTGTGGGTGATTGTCCTCCAAACCCCATGGCCACTTCTTCTTCTCTCCCCTTAAACTCACGAACTTTCTCTTCTTTGGTAAGGGATGGCATGTGTTTTTCAAAGAAAATGAGAATTATGAGTCCTAACAAGGTGTATTTATAGAATACAGCAAGGACCTTAATAAGGTTGGGATTAGAAAATGAATACTTGGATTATGGTCCACCCTACTCATTAGCACATCAATAATAAATTATTCTACTAAGAATTTATTATTGCACTACCTTTCACAAACCAAAATTACTTGGGCTCCAATATAGTCGACTTATTCCCCATGTTTAACACATCGAACGTCCGTTAGTTAATTTAATTACTGATAATATAACTAACTAATTTATTGGTTTTCTGAAACTAGTACCACTCAACCTTATATTTATGTTGAAACTTAATCCATTTGCAGGGTTTAATAATAATTATCTTTTTGAACTCATTTCAGTGACGTCATCACCCTAGTACACCAGGATATAGTGACTGAATAAAATCAACAACACACCATGTAAACAATAATATTTCCCAACTCACTGAATCTATTGACTTAACGAATAGGTCTCACTTTTATGAGTTAAAGGAATAAATTAGGAGTACACGTACCCGTTATTATCATTCGAGTTTAGAGTACGAGTTATACCATGAGTTATAGTTTATTTACTGGGTCAATATAAAATAAACTTATCCTATGTGGTCCAGTTCAATACACACAAAGTGTATCATAATAATTTATTAGTTAAGATAAAACTAACTCAAGTTATACTATAATCATACTAATAGGTTTGTCCATTTTTATCTCTGTTACAAATTATATTTATATTGTATAAGAAACCAATAATATAATGTTTTGTACGATGATGCCACACTATATTATCTTCAATCTCAATAACAGGACAATTCTACATTTCCATATTTCAATGAAGTTAAAGATAAAAGAAGCGTTTTTAAGTAGGTACCCTACGATGAGTTTTAAAAGTTAATTTATTTTTGAAAAGCTCGAAAATCCTGTTATTTTCAAAGTATTAGTAGAGGGTGCCTACACTCCCTCTGTAAATTTATTCAAATTTAAGGTTTTGCTTCAAATCTCTCCAAATTTACTACTTTCAATTTATGTATTGCTAAATTTGCATATCCCGTGTCTTGATATGCAAAAAGTCAATGCGATTTTGATTAAAGATAGTCGATGAAAATCTATCCTCCCTTCCCCTACCATGAAAAAAAAAATACTCACATATGTTCAAGGTTAAAATCTTGATGTGCAGTGTGTGAAAGAGTCTCCACTGACCATGCCATTGAAAAGGTTAGCTATTTCTAGTCCTGTGCAAACCTATAACTCCTAGATTTTGTCCATTCTATTATTTTTTCTTGATATTTCTTTTTTGCTGAACAAATTGTAGTGATGGGCTATAGAGTTATTGCCTTAGTACAAAATGAATATTCACAACTGATGGATACAAAAATAAAATGATTCATTGAAATTTGTGTTTGCAATAAAATCATGTGCAAGAATATTATTCTCTGTTGTATTGATAAGACCGTGTGACTTGTTTTAGTCCATGGTATTTTTATTTTTCTTATTAGCCAACTGGGTGCAGATTCCTTTTTATAGGCTTTTGTGACAACCATATGTGTACATGTATCCTGAAGTTGAAAAGAGCATTGTTTACATTTTGTCCTTGTTCGGAATAAAATTTCATGACTTGTATTGTCCGTAGCTTTTGTTTTCTTATGTGGGATATATGTAACTGTTGAGGACCACTCATTGCCACGATGAAATAAATTGGTGTAGCCCTGCACTAACTTTTGCAGCAAAAAATGCACAAAATGTTCTGTGTATAAAAGTTATTTCATTTGGTAAGGTTCAAACATATTCACATTGCATTCCTTTCATCTCTTCACTTTAGGGCTTTCCTTACTTATAAAAATATGCCTCGTTTATCTTCCCCCCGAACCCAAGATGAGTGCTTATATGATTCTCAGTGGACGAAGGAGGTGGATAACTTGTTTATTGACCTTCTCTTAGATCAACACTTTGAAAGTGATTGGAAGTGCAGACGTCCATCAATTCCCATTATCGGTTGGTTTTAGAAGTGATAAATAATTTGTTGGAGACAGACTTTATCATAACTGAGTTGGAAGGATGTGTGGATTTCCTTAACAAACGCTACCTTGTGTTTCTATGGATGCTAGGGAAGCACGACCTCCGTCACCACAAGGGAGCCAATGTTTTAACTACCCCGGTTGATGTTAAGTAGACATATATTAAGGTACTTTCATTATTCGTGTGATTAAAATTTTAGTTCCTTGATGTTACTTTTTTCTTATGGTAGTTCTATATTATACCAGTCAAACCCTTTTAGCATTTCCTATCAGGACTTGGGCAAGTATTTCGTGCCGACATTTTCCCTTAGAAAGCCTTTGGGGGTGATGCAGCAACCGAAGTTGTTTCTTTCTGATGTTGAACAGGATGGTGTGGACGTCGCCGAATCGTCCATTAACACTGAGGAAGGAAATCTTTGTCGAAACAGTATTGTTCAGACATCCGGTCGACCACGTGACAAGGACATATCCTCCGAGTGCTCAGTGAATAAGTCTAGTCATGTGGTCATCTCACCAGTCGGTGGTCGTCCCTCTTTGTGCATTCCTCGACCGCCCTACAAATGTCGCCCCCCACCTTGCAAGGGATCATGCAGCGACCCCATGATTAAAAGAAATTAATGGGGGAGTTCGACTACTCATTTAACATGAAGTACTTCCTTAATTTAGCTATTTTGTGGTACTAAGAACTTTTTTATTTTTGTTGTTGTACTTATCATGAAATGTTTTCCTGTAATTTTCACTATCCATTCCACGATGGATGCATAGGAAAGACACGAGTTGTTTGAAGTTAATTTGATTGAAGGATGGTTTATTTTCACGTGCCAAGATGATAATTTTATTGAAAAAAAATAAAATGGATATGTGCCCTCTCTTTTATTTAACCAACCCAAAAACAGTCTCAAATAAATATTAAATACAATTGTTAAGGATAAAATAGAAAACAAACAGTTGGGACGAGAATCATACAAAAAATTACATTGGAATCAGCAGAAGTTGTCAAAGCCAGGGTCCCGTAGGGGCACGGGCTCCTGTGCAACTTTTTAAAAAATTTAGTATATATATAATTATATTGTAAAATAATTACAGAGAGATTTTCTTAAAATTTAAGTTGTTTGCATTTTGTATTTGTATTATGTTGTAGGCAACATATATAAATGAGTTGTATCGATTTTTCACAAAAGTCAACATTGATTTTGATACATATTGAATTTTAGGTGTTCTTAAAATTATAATTATAAGTTTAAAATTAGCTACTAAATTGTGTTTGTCATTGATTTTTTAACTAATAAAATATTTATATTTGTTAGAAAGAAGTCCACGAATGCTGACGTTGTAAGAATATCCAATGCAAAAGAAAAAAAAATGTTGGTATTTGAAAAGGATATATTTAATGAGATTTGAATTTATGTAATTATGAGTGATATAATATATACGGAAATGCAGAGAATAAATATCATTTTTTTTTTTTTTGCACTTTGTAAAGGTTATGTTTGTGCCCCCTCAGTCTTGCGAGTTTGCGTCCGCCCCTGATTATGGATACATTATATTATAGTTTTCATCATCTACAATAGTTTCATTTAAGAAGTACATCTTAATGCTAATAAATATTACAAAATTAGAAAAATAAATATTGGTTGTTTGTATTATGACCTCGTTGGTATTGCAAGAAAAAGATTGCAAAGTCAAGGTCGTAAGAGCATGCAAATTCATCTCCATAAAAGGACTTCTTTGAAGTCGATCTACAATTTTTTAGATCGATACTGTATGCTAAAAAAAATTAGTCAAACATGTAAAATAACCAGTAGTCGATTAATGTTGGAAAAACTACAACGAGCAATAGAAAGCACCGTGCATGCAAAAGAGGGTACGATTAAAAGTGCCCATATACGATTATGGTATCCAAAATGGGGCGGATGAAAATAACTCAAACACACCACATACGTATGTGAGCTTCGACGCATACTAGATGGAATAACCTTTGCATAAATAAAAGCATACCAACAACCCACACTTACACATTAGGCATTCACTAAAATAGCAGTCCCTTAACATTAATACGACGACAATCTAACGGTTACTCAAACTTGACGCTTGATTCGCAACTGCTGTCATCGAATATTTTGATGACAGGAACACCAAAGATAGCATCGACATCGTTTATGAACTATGGAGAAGATGGTATATCCATTTGTTGCACTTCATTCTCCTCAACGTCCATCTCTAGAGCCTTGTTAACGTTGCTGAAATCCGAATCGGACTCATCCAAAAAGATAGGGTCATCCTCCGAACCACTTGTGCCATCATCGAAATCAATTTTAGGAGCTTCTTGCAGATCGAACACATCAACGCAATGGTGGTACCAAGAGAATCCATAAGTTCGAAAGTACCACTCTAGTTTGTTTTCCTTGAAAGATGTGTTTGCGCGTTAGTGGTAGTTACAAGAAAAAAAAATTAAACACACAATCTAATCATGTCGACAAATAATATCGTGCATGCATCTTAATTATAGTAACCTCACCGACGTAAGTCCAATATGTGTTGTTAACACGGACAAGAGATCCGTCTTGCATGTACACGGATGCCCGGGATGCTGTTGAAGGTGATGAACTCGTTAAAATGTGTACGGAGACGATGGATCTTAGTGCGAACCTTAGATTTAGAAAACAACTTCTGCATCACCGCAGACAACTCGATTGCAAGAGGAAGCCAAATGGAATTGAACACTACTGGGTTGTTTAGGTACAACAGATCCCAACACTTTCGGAAGAAAATATGAAAGCATATGGTCTCCTCTTCCATGTTCCATTCAACACCCCAAAAGCGTACCGTAATAGCTTGAATGCGTGACTCCCTATCCATCGAGTATATAACCTACAACATGCAAACACAACCTGAAAGAAATAAGGATTCGCTGCCTTTAACCAAAGTACCGTGAAAATAAAATTATGATTTTTTTGTGTTCATTGCAATGAAAAAACATGTACAACACATCCACTTATCTTCAACTCCACTTTGTACCATTTTATAAGAGCACCCGAATATATAGAGATACTTGTTCTTGCAAGTATTAAGTGTAGAAGGTGCAATGTCTTGTCACTTAATGACCTTCAACCACTAAAAATAATTTACAATAGGAAAAAATGATATATAATGATGTATTTAGGCTTCCTCTACGCAAAATAAAGTTTCTTGTTACCTGTTTTGGTTTAACACGGATTAATGCACTCTAATTTGGTTTACATGTGGTCGACTTTANAAGATAATCATTAAACAAGCCTTTTTTGTATAAATTTTACGGTTTATGGAGTTGTAGGTAACCTGCTATTAATGTATATGGTTACCTTTAATTTATATTAAATATTATATGTGTGCCATATTGTGTTTGGGTTAACTATTATTAATACATTTATTTTTTATTTTTTTATTACCAACAATAAAGTTGAACTCTTAATAAATGTCCAAACTATTTTTTTTACGTAGGTAGGTTCGGGTATTTATTAAATATAAAAAACTAATTGAACACAGGCCAACAACAAAACAACAACTTTAAAAATATGACCCCTAATGTAATTAAATATTTATGCCTTTTTTTATTGATGAAGTATTAAGGCAAATGTATATATCCATGTGTTATAGTTTTTAAACTTTCAATCAACAAAGATGAAATTAAGTTAAATGAAAGATAACAACACCAATATTTAATGCATAGTGAGGGCTATAACATTGGTGGGTCAGTTGAAAAAGGAAAAAAAAAATACTTATTAGTATTAGATATACATCTCGTTCAATTATGGCAACACTCATAAATTGAATAGCCATTTTTGTCTCAAAAGGCTCCATGAATTGACATAATTCATGGAGCTCATATGGAAAGATGAAATCTTTGTAGAACAAAAATATGCAAATAGAATAGATTTATGTGCGGTTTTGCTATTGAGCCATGACATGTACTTATTGAACCATCAACACTTATTCAGAAATAGTGTTTTCACAGTGTCCTACAATAAATATAATTTAGACAGTAGTGAGCGTTTCAAGTTATAGATGAATCCATAAGAGAGCCATCATCTGGCTCCATAGAATTTTTTGATATACATGTTTCACGAACATTTTTGCCACTAGCTTTATTAATAAGGGATTGCTAATTTCTGGTTTAAAATTAGTTTAGAAGAAAAAATTATAATTGGAAGAGAAATTATCCTAACATATAATCTTACCATGAATATATGATAGGCATCAACTAAGTGCCTAACTTATTTAAGTTAATAGTAGCATATGTACTAATTTGTCACCAGCTTCATTAACGAAGGGTTGTTCATTTCTAAATAGCTTAGAGGAAAAAAATGGTAATTGGAAGAGACTAATTATCCTAACATATAATCTTACCATGAATATATGATAGACATCAACTATGTGCCTAACTTATTTAAGTTAATAGTAGCATATGTAGAAATGATGTAAAATAAACACATAAATTAAAATATTCTGCAAAACATTTGTGAAGTATTATAAATGTTATACTCCCTAACCAAAACTAATTTAAAAGGACCATTTTACACAAAACCATTCTTAAAATTACAAAGACCACATAACTCATCAACGAATCAAATTTCAAAACAAAAGTTTTCAAGTTTGCTCCAACTGAGGAGCTTTCGTCTGGAAAACAACATTCGTAAGATTGTTGGGTGAAATGAAGTCTTCATAATCATTTCCTAAGCAGACCAAACTAAAAATTAATATCTAAATTAGGCATACCAAAACCAACTAGACGAGTCACCATTCTATCTTGTGAACCGCCAAATGTACCGACTTTCCAACGGTAGAAAACGTTTTCCCAAATAAAGCTGCAAAATAGTCCACAATTTAGTAGGGTCTTTGTGGTTAACTAGATAGGAATTATCTTACCATATATTTCTACAAACAATTTTCAAGAATCATTTGCACCATTTGCAACTTTGCATCTTCTTTCAGACTGAAATAACAAATCCATCTCATCAGTGTTCTTGCATAAATACTTTGCAACAATAAGTTTTAGTTGAATCGTAAAAAATAGTATGCCATTTAGCGCATCGTACACGGACTTCCATAGTTCCTTATCATCATGGTGGACAACAATTTGGGTAACCAATTCAGAAAATTTGTTATCAGTCTTGTCGCAAAAAGAGGTTAACAAATTCGCGAAGCGCTCTTCCACATCGCTTATATTTTTCCTCTCTGTGCCTTGTTTCTCTTTCCCCAGTGCACTACTTTTACAATGTTGCGTCGAGGATAAATGGTGTTCGGGACCTCCAGTTTCACCACAAATCTCAATTTTATTCTCCACTTCTACATGGCTGCGATGAATTCTCCCTAGTTGGGGTGGGCGCACTATGTAACACTTTGTTGCAACATCTGTAAAACTACTTGCAGACTCTCATGTTGCCCTATCTTTACCAAACATCTCTCACCAATCAGCATAATAGGGTCATGGCTTCAAGCGCATCCCTTTTGCCCGAGGATCCACATATTCCACATTTTAATCGTCGTTATCTTTATTTATTTATTTATTTTTTTATAATTTTTGAGAAATAGCTTTACATGTTATAGAAACAACTAAACAAGAATGCAACGATGTAAAATTTACATACCTTCAGAGATGCCTTCCAAACATCGTCTCTTACCTCTAACATGTGGCTTGAATCACTCCATCCAATACCTGAACAATTACCTAGAAAATTGGAGAGAGACGCATACTGTTTTCTTCACACATGTATCTCAGACGATATATGTGGTTCTGCATGTATGTTGGTTCCCAAAAAGCATTATAGCATGTCTTGCAGCAACATTCCAACATAACCTGAATGAAAACCACTGTCACATTTCCATCTGCGTGTTATTATATCCTTAAGTCCACTTATTAAAGCATGTTCCTCATCTGGTGTCCATGTTCTTCGTTTATCGGTTGACCGTGCATTCCGTGCAGCACTATTTGTGGAAACTATAGCTAGAACAAAATATTTAAACTTAATATTCAGTAATAAGTTGATAAAACAGAACAATACTCCACATAAAAACTAATTTAACACAATTTCTTCAAGTATAGTAGAATATACAATTTGTAAATAAAGGACGAAAACTCATTCCCAAACAACAGTATAGTAATTGTCACACCGGTATTCAACAGAACAAAAACACCCATTAAAATAGTATTATAATGCAGTTCTAACATTAAAGACAGGACAAGCACATAAGGTCTTCATTAGTAGTACATTTACAAGGAGATAAAATAAATAACAAATATTATTGGGTTGACAATACAACACACAGTTAAATTCAAGCACGACCATCCCAATTGCTAAACATTGTATGTGCCAAATTGTCTCGCCAGTTACTCCACTCTGTAGATGGTTCAACAACTTCGACATATTCCATGTTGTCATTGGGGTTACAGTTTCCTTCAGCATTCAACAAATCATCATCTAAGGACCCCTCCATTGGGTCTACACTCATGGATGTTCATGTGTAGTTTTGAAAAAGAAAATATGCAAGTATTATATGATTTTGAGTTGTAATATTGAAAAAGTCTTGCTCCAGAGGACTGCCCAACGCATTTTTAGAACTCCAAAAGACCGTTCTATTAAGTTTCGAGCACGGGCATATCTTAAATTAAATAGTTCCTTTGGGTTTTTTCTGGGAACGGTGCCCCGAAGCAAATTCGTCTAAGTGATAACGAACACCACGATATGATGCTAGAAAACCAGGATCATTTGTATAGCCCTCATCACACAAGTACTAATTTCCTATTATTTACAGTTACCTGTTTGAGGATAAAATTTATATGGTATGGAGTACTTACACTACCCGTACATTACACAACTACAATTGAAAGATTACTAACCATTCAGCACACGTAAACCACTATCCCGAGTGACATCATTACATAATACTATACTATCAGCCGCCGATCCTTCCCATCCAGTTAATATGTAAGCAAAATACATGTCGCGATCACATACTTCAAGAACATTAACGGAAACAAATCCCTTATGGTTCTTATATTTTAGTTGCAGATGAATAGGTACTCGCACGGGAATATAAGTTCCGCCTAAGGCCCCTAAGCAACCCTAAAGTAAGTATACAAAAAAATTATTATTTAGTTGGACTTTAATATAAATAAATTGTACAAACCTTAATCGACAATAAATTCTAAAATTGGTGCACCTCAAACCATTTCCATCTCCAACTGTTTTCATGATTCGTCACTGGAATCAGATCAACCGAGAATAGGGGGTGCAAGCAGCGTACGACGAGGAGGACTTTCTGACCACTTTACTTATTGTGTGACCGGACCATGTGAAATCAAATTTGACAACAACATTCTTTTTATGATGTGCTAGAACATTAAAAAATGTCTACTTGTTCACTTTTGTACATTACGAGTTACACGTAGACCATTAACATTTTCAAGCACATAACATAACCTACCTAAAGCATTACAGTCCATCCAACGTTGTTCTACACATGTCATATCATTTATTTCTATTAAGGAGGTCATATGATATCTGAGCACTATATGGTATGACATCCGGTAACTTGCATTTCGGTCTCGTAGGGCAGCAACACGCCTACGTCTAGATGGTCCAAACAAGTGTAGATAAATATAGCCAAACAAATAAATGATTTTTATCATATTTAAGATTTACGCCACTAGTACCATAGTATCCACATCAATGCCTTCCATTTGCAAGGTGACTTCCAAAGTCTACTCCAACTGTAAACTTCACAGAAAACGTACTTATGTTAAACTAACTAATTTTTTTTTTCTTTGTGATTAACATTAATACACACTATTACACACAACACATAGATAATAACAACATTGGTTGAATTTCCTTCACAAAATAATTCAACAAAAACAACTTAAATTGAATAACCTATAATTCCCATGTTCAAGGTGTTAGTTAAATTTATTGCAAAAAAATTGTTTCATGTACAACTTTATTAAAAAATTATAGACAACAACCACACATTGGGAAGCCCTAAGGTGCAAAAATATTAGAGCGTACCAAAAAGGAGAAAACATACGGAAAAATACAAAGAATGTTCTTAAATTCATATTGTGTACCTTCTAGAATGATTTACACGGTCTGTAAGTATTAAAAATTGCAGCAACTTCTTTGGTAGCCCTACGCGATCCGTCTAGGGCAACTCGAGGGTTACACATGAAAATACACTTTCATCTCCTCAAGGCGGATCTACACGAGGGCCAGAACTTAAACAAACTAACACTGTCGGGAGTCGGGATGAGGTGGAGTGATATCAGGAAAGAGGACTTACCCCATGGTCCTACTCGAGTGGCTAGGGTTCGTATTCCTTTTTTGGGAAAAAAAGGCCTCCATCACAAAGCCTTATATTGTGGTATTCTACCGAAATTTGATACAATTCAAAGGATATTTATGACCACAAAATTACTTTTTGGGGGCAGAGTGGTAAATTTGGGCCTCATGGAGTTTTATATCCAAGCCCATTAGGAAGGATGACTGGATCGTGCAAATGAAAGATGAAGGCCCCTCCAATCTCGAATCGGATCTTATCCTTCGGACCTCAATACCTGAAAGTAAACGAAGTATTTTTACCCTGTGTTTGGTTCGGGGGAATCAGAGGGGAGGGGAAGGGAGGGGAAGAAATATTTTTATTTTCCTCTGTTTGGTTCAACTTTTGGCAAGGTAGGGGAGTAGAATTTTCCCCTCCATTCTCCCACCCGAGGGAAAATCAGCTCCCCTCCAATTTTGGGGGGATTTGGAGGGGAAGTTAAGACTTATACTTTTTTGTACTAATGTGCCCTTATCAATTCATTATAATTACTAAATTACCCAATATAAATAAAACATAAGTAAGGGTATATTTGTCCATGTAATTTTATTTTCCCTCCTCCTTCATCTTCTAACCAAACAAGGTTAATCATTTTCCTTCACCTCCCCTCCTACAAAATCCCTCCAAACAAGGTAAAATTACATTCCCTCCCTTCCCCTCCCCTCCCCTCCCTTCCATTAAATCACCTCCCCTCCCCTCCCCTCCTTTGAACCAAACATAGCCTTAAGGATAAGGAGCAATATCCCATTCTATCATGAGAAGTAAATGAGGACAAAAAAAATTAGGCCCATGACGATTGATATATAACACCCAGAATAGGTCGGTGTATCGACTAGAGTGGTTAACTCGGGTTAAGTCGGGTTAATGAAGATCAATCTCACCGTCAGTATTTGACCTAGTCAGAAGCTCGCTGACGCAGCTCAGGGTACTGATCGACCTGATGAGATGGCGTGGAGGTCGAAACCTTCAAGAGCCCGAGTGTACGAAGCGACAATTCAAATTAGAGGTTGTGAAGAAGGAGGTTGAGGTAGCGACCTAATTAAGGCTGGGGACAGGTAGCATAAGAGGCCGTGTTATGGACTATTCGTCGTATGGTAAGAAGGGGCAGAATCTTGATAGGATGGAAAATGTGTCTTGGTAAGGAATCTTGGATCCTAAATGCAAGGTAGGTTAGAAAAGTAGATCCGTAAGATCTCTTTGCTAGCCTAGACTCTTGTGGGCATTAAGAAATTCTCGTATAAAATGGTGACCAGGTTCTATGTTAAACTTAAGATACATTCGCACATACATTACTTACAGTTTATCATTTACTCTATCGAGCAAATACTGACATGTGCATAAGAGGTTTTCCACCGAGACACTTCTATGTCATATTGAGCTCGAGATTGGTGTTTATTTGTGGTGCTCCAACTTAATTCGGTCCAAGGTGAATTTACCCATCAAATTGGCGTTGTCTGTGGGAACCAACTTAGTATTTTACAGGCTATAAGGGACTAATCGATATCTTACAAGAAGGTTTTCATAATTTTGAAGATAAATATTGTGGCAGGCAATAACTCCAAGAAAAGTCTGGCTAAGGAGATGGACAAGGCTTGGGTGTCGCGAAAAATTGGGTCGAGCCCCCCACTAGGGTGGTCGAAGTCGACTGGCACACTAGTCAGGCCTTAAGAAACACTGTCAGCACCTTATACAGAGTTGACCCCTGTGTCAAACTTGTTAAGGGGACCTCTGGCGAGGCAGGAGTTGGTGGTCTTCCAACAAGAGACTGCTTTCCGCTTGTTAAGAGGTTTTCATATTGATTGTCCCTTAGTTGCTTCTTCATTATTAGTTTCTTGTAGCCCCCTTTGCCCTAATAATAAAGTAAGCTTCCCTGACCCATCCAGCGCCTTCACCTGATTCAGAGCCAACGACACCCGTTTTTCTTTTGATGGAGAAAGACGCAAAATTCAAATGGACAAAAGAAATCGATTCATTTTTTCGCATCCATAGCGTAATGGTTAAACATTTGAAGTTCTTTCCTTGGTCTTCATTCAATGAAAGGAATAAAGCTTTCTGCATAAGGGTTTAGGAGGTGCAAGGGCAGGTAGCAGCATAAGGCACTTAGATAGAGCAACAGGAGGACCCAGGGGTCAACCGACCTCAGGAGCAGGTGATTTGCCAATTGCAGAACCCCAGGGGGCAGGAGTTCCACCAGGGACGACCAGGTTATCCAGCTCACTTGCGCGGAGTTGGACAGAATTGTGGCTTAGGCAGTGGGGCGGAGCTCGGGCGGCCGACAAGGCAAATCCTATGATAGCATAGCCAGAACCTTAGAGGAGGCCAGAAGAGGTAAAGGTGAGGTCAACATTATCACCTACAACCATATCTAGGCCATTTTGGAATGCTACCCCTAGAAAGATTGTCAACCCAACTACAGAAGTTACAGGC